AGGGAGGGTGTAGATGGCTGGCGCGGTAATCACTCAACACGCGCACGCTTGAATCAGCCAACTCGCTAGGTATGCTTCCGCTATGTATCCGCTAGGTATCCTTCCGATCACGGTAATAGATCAAGCAGGAGAACTGTTGAGCTTTGAATAGGCTCTGTGTTGCAATGACTGAGACCAATGAAACACGACCGGTTTTTACGTCCAAGTCAGGAGAGTGGGGCGGGGGGGGGAGCCAGCGATAATTTGGCCCCTGATGATTGACTTCGTTATGTGCCTTCATTTCTATCGTTGCGCCAACGTGTATTCGTCCAATATGTTGGTCGACTAACAGCATCCAACCTTGGCATCAAGCTTACTAAAACTTACAACTGCACACAAAATCCGCAACACCTTAAATATCGTTTTGTAGGAAGATGATACTTCTGTTTACCTACGAACCTAGTTAGACTAGCTCAGCTCTTGCATATGCACCATATTTACAAAATAGGGTGGTCTCAGAATCAGAAGGAGGAGGAGAAGAAGAAGAAGATGATGATGATGATGATGAGGCAATCGCTCGAAGCTGGCGTTTATTGGCTTCATATTTCCGATTTTCGCTCAAATAAGTCCTTAGAGACAGTTGTAGATAAGGGTCTGTGCGAATGCAACTGACTCTGATAGTAGATTCGAGCGAGAAACCAAAAGGATCAGGTTAATGAGCGCCATATTCCAGAGATCATATTTTCTTCTTCTGAAGTGCTTCCTAATGGTTGATATATTTGCGTCCACCCAAATAAATTACTGATCTCCCTGCTAGCCCCCTGTGTTTTCCCTTTCCTACCTCTTACAGGATCCTGGGCAGAATACTCGCCTGCTGACTGCTTATACGGACAACGCTCAAACAACTGTTCAACTTCCAGGGGATTGCTCTGTTTCTATGGATTCCACCTCCTCGCCATCTCCTCGCACTCCCCTCTCCATTTTCCCGGCTCCAACTTCTCAGACCTCGACGACAGGCACGACGTCGAGCGTTTCGCATGTGGTCTACAGTTTATCCAGCCCCCTGACTCGCCGCAATGACGCTCTCCTCGTAAAGTCCGAGCCGTCGGTTCGACTTCCCAGCTATGACAGCATTGTCAGCGGGGCATCAGCCCATCAGGTTGATGGAAGCGAGAGTGGAACTTCTTTTGAGAGCATGCAACCTCATTTTGAGCCGGCGAGAAACAGCATTGCCTCAGGTATGCTGTTTACTCTCTTTGAATTTTGGTCATATGTTGCCTAGTTTTCGAACCGCATAATGGTATGCCTGAACGCTCTTTCTTCTGACATGTCCATCACTTGTTCGGCAGGATTCCTTGACATTACTGAGTGCGGTCAAGGGTACGAGCTATTTTGAAGTCTTTTGGGGTCCAGTTGATGCAGCACTGTTCACAGAGCACCAGTAATATACAACGCTGAGGACGGAACATAAGTATACAAACATGTAGCTAGCAATATCGAGGAAGGTGAGGCACAGGGTGGCTAATTCTGACTTAGTTGCTGGGTTTAGCTGGCAATTCCCAGTCCCGATTTTCAATAAGCTGGTGATCGTGGTATAAGGATATACGTGTAGAGTCACAAAGCTGTGAGCATAGACCTCTGCAGTGTCCATGT